AACTAATGTTGTTCAGTAGCAGTATACTTCACTAGTCCATGACACCTTGATGTCAGAGATCACGCCTTGTGATCTTGGCTGTTAGGTGGTTTCCAACAGAAACCTAGTTAACACTACAGTTGATCAGTTGAAGATCTAATAAGCTGTGAGAAATGCCAGGTTGAACGGTACAATTTGTAAATTATTTGCAAACTGATCATCCTATTTTAGGTGAGTAGTTTATTATCGAACAAAGTGTTTGGAATATTTTTAGTTCCCATTGAGAATTGAATTACTAAAGCCTAACTCAATGAAGAAATCGAACTATGACTTCTAAGGACAAAGATATTCTGATCACAGTACTGGTATGTGATCAGTACCCAGAACTGCATAGATAAGATAATAAGTAGAAACTACTCAACAAGGTATATGCATACACTGGTTGAGTTCCTTACATGTATGTCATCTTCATCTAGAAGTGAGGAAACATTACAATTTTCGTCCCTATCAGTCTACCTTAATCAGATTGCTTGTTTTTCAGCCTGGCATATCCATAGAAATTTCGAATTGAATGGTGTCAGGTAAAACGAGTGGAACAGTTGACCGGTGTCTAAATCCCTTCAATCTGGTCAGTAGTTACTGTTGATTTGATGTAAGTGGTTCTCAGAGATTCAGGTTGTTTTACCTAAACAAAGATTTCGTCACTTAGTATAGGTAATAAGCAAGTTCTTTTATATGCATAATAATTACTTGGTCACAACAAATCATACTAATTTCCAGATGGTGTCCATCATGGACAAACACCAGCAGGAGAACAATCGGAAACTTAGAAGCATGGGAAAGCTATTTCATCTGAGTATGAGAGTTTTCAGCAGTGAGTACCCATGTCATTGCCAGGGATCAAACCCAAGACCTTCACGTTTCTCGGTAAACACGTTACCATTGAGCCACGGGGTCGGAACCTAGAGGCCCACATTTTCTACTTCTTTCAGTTCATGATGTAGCATGATCTCCATTCAATGCCGTTATTGAGTGATCGTAGTCAATCACAAAACTTAGGGTGATCAGTGTGCAAATAATTTACAAATTGTACTATTCAACTTGACATTTCTCACAAGTGATTAGATTTTCAACTGGTCAACTGTAGTGTTAACTAGGTTTCTGCTGGAAACCAACTAACAGCCAAGATCACAAGGTGTGATCTTTGACAAAAAAGTGTCATGAAGTAGTCTGGTGTTTGAATCACTCTGATTTAATTGGTATAATACTAGGGATCAACCTGATCGGTTTCTCGCTACTCAAGTTGTTCAGTAGTAGAATTTATTAAAATCTTTTCCAGCTATCAGTAACACCCCCATGTTATTTTCCATGAGCAAGAATATTATTGTAAAAAGAGGTTCTGTCACAGATTTACGGAACATAAAGCACTTAAGTTCGCCAGATTTTAAAACACATGAACTGAAAGCAAATGAGAACAAACGTTTACTTCTAGATGGAAGTCTAATCGACCAAGTTTAGTCTCATCCGCTGAGCGTTTTACTAAATGAAGGTAGACCTTACTTCAGTTTTAATACTTAGCCACTTGTATACTCAAATCATTTTCTGTTCCGAAACTTATTACGCCGATAGATAACGAACGCAGTTTCACACTTCCCAAACAATCCTATTGATAACGTTATCTAAGATATCAGAAAAATAGAGGAAGTAGGCTTGTACGCGCAACTGACCAACATTATGTGCAAATGAAGTGTTCAGATTTTTTAACTGGTCTCTCAGTTGTGTTTCTAACAGACGATTAAACCGAAGGAATGGAAGTCACATATCGTGTGAAGAAGCCCAACTCTCACCAGCTTGAAACATTTGTGGCTGTTTTTATGTATCTGTTTAGGGCTAATCTCAACTTTAGCGAGGTCAGGCACGTTAATTATGAGTTAAAATACAGAATTAGTCGACACTGTATAGGCATCTGGTGAGAAGGTTATATTCAGATATCTTTCACAGGCACCCCACCTGTCTGGAGACAAACACGACCACAGTCGGACTCCAGAGTAATGGAACAACTTCAGTATGTCATACCTCCCTAAACAACGAAGCCAACCTTTCAGATTTCACTAAATTTCCATACTTAAAAGGGATAGAGGCGTACTTACGTACCAACTTACTGCATTTGTTGACCTTTACTTTCCTCAGTTTTGGACCTTGTTTTCCACACCGAAGTTTTTATAGTAGTTTGCATCGATTTCCAACTGTGTTTGCCGCGCGTATTTTTCAGTCTTTTTTTATTGGCTAGCATTTGTTTAAATACAGCTAAAGTGTACTATACTTCTCTGCTTAGTTATCAGTGTTTCTGCGTTATAAAGTGAGCATAAGTCATAATTTCCAGTATACAGACACGACAAACTGGATAAAGATCATGGTTTCTGAACTTCTGGTTTTTAATGAATTAACCTAAGCTTATCGGGAAGCCATGAGGTTTTGGGTCTGACCAGCGATAGCATAAAATGTACTTACTACTTTTGATTTCCAATTTCAAAGCGACTCCTTTTTTATTTGTCACAAGTTTAAATGTAGTTCTGACTGATAATCTCCTAAACGATAGTTAAGGTTACAATCCCACTAACGACTCAACGAAATAAAGTGAATTGAATGATACCTGTAAAACCATCACATATACATGTGCCCGCGAAAATCCTAATTAAATTTCTTTATTGAACCTCTTGCTTACTAAGAAAGAGGATGCGAATATTAGAAGGTAATTATGCAGAAAGAATATATTCGCGGAAAGTATGTGCACTTCTGAAGCTTCGTCACGCTCTAGCAGAAGAGAAATCAGGTTAGATAGTGAGCCGTGCTGGAAAATAAAATGAATAAGTTCAGAAATTTATTGGGAAACAGTGATTTCCCGGTCAATTCATCAGCAGAAATATGATTAATAGATTCTCAAAAGTGGAGATAGGCAACCCCATAAATCGATAATCCATGAGTTTAAAGCGCAAAGGTGATGCTGTTTTGGAAGTGCTAGGAAATCACTTGTAAAAAAGCTCTAAAAACCCTCCCTGCCACCAAGTCCCTGAAATTTGACTTTCAAACCAAATCACTCTACCTTCGTGTGAGAAAAAGAAGTGTCCCAGCTGTTCAAATAAGTTTGCGGATGTATTTTAACCACTCTTGTGGAACAAGTTACTTGAAATGTACTACGAGGACTTTTTTCAAACGCGTGAATGAACACCTACCAGCTTGGGTGTGTAAAGAAAAAGTCAAAACTATAACTAGTTCCAAACAGATCCATCTTAGTGAAACCAATCGTATAGTTGGGATCACAACAGATCCTACAACTGACCAAATTCCTAATAGACTTTCATGCATGTAAGACTTCGTCTTCTCTAAGCACCAAAGAAGGTTGCCATGAAAACCGTCAAAGCAGCATTTTACGTCGCAAAAAAGACCGTTCAATCAAGAGTTCTTCCCTGGTTTCAATGTGAAGTAGCTTTCTTGAAGTTTAGTTATTATTTTCCTGTGCATAATTATCGAGATTTTGTACATTTGGTCTGTTCAACTGATTTTCTGTTTGTATACTTCAGTTAATTGTTCATGATATTATTATGAAGTGGTTTTGTACTCTTAGTAAAAAATGGTTTTAATTTCGTTTTGATTTCACACCAATGATCTAATTTTCATCCTTTTTTTTGCTTTATACCACTCTCACTTGCCCTATCATGTAACCTCACTCTCACCTTCATTTTTTTCACATGCATGTTTGTAAATCGTCTATGATTACTTTCATCATATACTGTTAGTGTATCAGAATTTGTATTCGAAAGGCTGAGCCTGATGAAACTCTACATAAAACATAGGTTCACTTAAATCAGTCATCTACTCAAAATGAAATGAACTTAAATTAGGAATTTATAGCAACTTATCGGTTGTTAGTTCGGATGTCTAAAGTAATATTAACTGATGAACTCATTCTTAATAATATTCATCTTGGTGACTGGCAGTAGAATCTAAAACGTGCGTTTCGTCTTATTTCCGACTCATCAGTTAGATGTAACTGCACCCTAGTAGGTGATTTTTTTCCTCCTGAGACTCTAGCCCAATGGCCATTGCTTCAAGTGCCCAAGTGTTGTTCATTAAATTGCTGAGACACAAAAGTCACCTCCGGTGTAACAGGAATCAGGTGTTCACTGGGTTTTTTAATTTCTTATTCTGTACAGTGTCATATTTCTGGACCTCTAGTTACTAATCACTTTCGGCTCAAATTGATCGCGTCCACGTTCTATGGACTGATAAAACCGACAACACTAAGCATCCAGTTTTCCTGTTTGTAACTATTAAAATCTTTTTTCCAACATTCTGTAGCTTTGCACTTTCAAATTTATTTGAAATTTGATTAGTAGATTCTATGGACTACTAGTCTCTTTGTAAACGATTACATTTCTAAATTTCAGGCATTCTGATTTTCGTCATTAAAGCCTTTCTACAAGCTGAATGAACGTTTTCGTTCCTATTGATATTCCCCAACCCTACTCATTCCATTATAAGTAACTCTCCGTGGGATTTAAATATGAAGATTTTTCACTGTACAATAAATAATCAACATATAGCTGTATTTTTTCTGCTTCAACGAAGTACAGACATCGATGGTTTGATGCTTAATACAATAATTTGACTATCTCAGAATAACATTATCATGTGGTCATGAAAAAGAGAAGACCGAATAATTTTATTGTTTGTGGTGCTTGAAGCAGAATATATGCCATAACAACACTTAACCCTCAATTGTTCTGATTCATACTTAAATTATCTTGATTTAGAATTAGTTTGATGAAGATTAGATGGTTGGCATGCCTACAACAGGCTTTTTGTGACCCGAAAAATAAGTGAAATTCTGTTAGTCCTACGTCAACCAGTTTATTCTAGTTTACGTGTTCAGTACTGTAAGGTGCAAAAAGTTTTACCATTATTTTTTATATCAAGAAATGTTAATTCTTTGAATGTATTGTTTTTCTTACCTTTTACAGTTGGAATTATATTCGCTTTACCGATAATTATATTTCAAGTTTTAATACCAGCACCATTTGATGACATATTACCGAGTAACATCACTATCCTCAATACTGTTACTGATTTCTTTGATAATACTTCTCACTTTTCTACGGAAACACCAAAATTTCCATCTGGAACAATAATACAATTACGAAGCTTGATTAACAATATGATTAACAGTAATGAAGTTCATAATCAAGAAGTATTTTGTCGTGAACAGTTTCCATCTCAGTCAAGTCGAATGAGTTATCAACTTTTTGTGCTTCTATCCACTTATGTTCTCCCATTTGCTTGTATTCTAATTTTAAACTCTTGTATTGTTCTAAGATTAAGACAAAAGGTAAGTTAACTTGAACATTGAACTGATGTGTTTAAATTATCAGAAGTTATATATGTATAAATATAGATGAAATTTCATGATTTTCAACAGACTTATTAAGTTTAAGGACAGTTCATTAACTTTTATGTAAATGATAGAAAGGAATAAAACCAGTACTAAAGAGTAAGTGTTTCTGGAAATAATTTACAATTTAAATATGTGGAAGAGAAAAATTTAAATATCACTCAACAATTAGTAGAGTACAGAAGTGATAACAGTCACCTTGGGTAAATTTTGATAGACAGTATATACAGCAGTTTTATACAAGGAAATTAAAGCCTTTATTTTGATGAACTATATAACCTTTAAAATCTGTTAAGTAAGAGCTTCATTTTCTTATGGTTTAAATTTCTTCAAGGAGGTTATGTTTCCATAGCTACGGTAGGATTCAGATGCTTCTTGACTGAAAGTTTACTGCTGATTTGTGCAACTTTTTAGATGTGTCATAGCTGATCTGCTTATGAATTAATTGGTCTCAAGAGTTTAAACATAGTGGAGAAAATCATATTTTGAAAAAAAATTAAAATCTGTCCATTATGTATATGTTAGGTGATAAGTTTTCATGCCTCAAACGATGAAAGTTTATGAATAATAAGTAGATGTAATATATATAATAAGTGTAAGTGAAGTATGCGAATCACTGGTTATATTTTCTTCAAACAAATTCTGTTATTTGATATCAATTCACCTAGAGCTTACGCTAACAGAAGTCACCAGTTTCACATCTAGAAATACAAACTATATGAGCGAAGAAATGTTTCTTCCCAACTAGTACCTCGTCAATGGCTCTAAACTAATGTATAGCATTCGTAAAATATAAAATTACATGTTAGTCTAGTGGTGATAATTGCTTAATAGCAGGTTATAGATCTCAAAGTATCAAGGCCGCGATAATCTGTCAAGGTAATTAAAAGTGTAAATAAAGTATAAATTAATTATATAGTTAAATTTACGAAAATGTAAACAATTCGTTGTATAAGGGATAGCTTGTTTAAAAGTAACTAACACAAAGAAGAGAGAAAATCAGTTATTATTACAAGTGGTCAATTGTTATTGATATAAACTTGGTGACTAGTCTCAACCAAATAAGAGAGTATTGAGCTTTGTAATGACCTTGCTTGCCTTTTACTTAACCATAACGAATGATGTTTGGTTATTTGACGAGACACTTTCCTAATTGAACCCTTAATGTAACTAGCTTCACAAGACCAATTGAAGTGGCAAGTGCATATAGAAGACATGAAATCAGGTAGTCTATCTTTGATTCGCAAAGTCACCACATTTTGCAAAAGCTATCTGTTGGATACTTTCTGATATAATGATTTTGTCACCGCAGTCTATTTAAATACTGGGTTCTTGAACGATAAGACAATGTTGTACATGAATGGGGATTTTTAATTTAGACTTAGTGTTCATCATGGACTTACATCAGTTGGGGGATCATTGAAAATCTGGGAGCACTGGACAGCTGTTTCGTCCTAGTACGTGACTCCTCAGCAGTACGCACCCACGACCTGACTAGGGATTGAACTCAGGACCTTCAGCTTTCACGGCGAACGCGTTAGCCATTCAGTCACTAGGTTGGTTTTCACTGGTTCACAGTTTCCAACTTCAGTCAATTCACGGTATACCACGACTATCACCCAAGGTCTTCTGTTGGCATGCGTTTCCCTTTCAACTGGTTGACACCATAAGTCACGGCCTCTCATTAGAGCTTCCTGATATCCATCTGGAAGCATGTCACTAATGAGCACTACACAGCAATGTATTTTTGAGATGAATGGGGAAACCTGTAGGTCCTGAGTTCGATCCCTGGCTGGGTCGTGAGTGCGTACTACCAAGGAGTCCCATACTAAGAGGAAACAGCTGTCCAGCGTGCTCCCAGATTTTCATTATTTCCTAACTGATGTCAGTCCATGATGAATACTACCTCTAAATCTAAGCTATTTATTATAGATGAAAATGAAGAAAAAAGAACGATGCATGTATCAAAATACTTTTATAACTGCTACATTGTTAGCTGGAAACGAAATACCGACAAGGTTTATTAACGTTTTTGCTAACCATGATTTGCATGGTGGCAGAGTAACATAAGAAACAGGTGGAAAACAAGTTTTGTAAACTGGTAACTTGTTATGAAAAGAAAGGATTGGTTCTTGCTCATACATATATGTATATATAAGTGTGACCATAGCCCTTTTTCACTATTTGTGTCAATAACATTACTTTCTACTGCTGTTTATTTTTATGGTTCATAAATTTAGAATTCTTTATTCTCAGCTAACAGACTAGGAAGTTTTGATAAACTTTAATGTTGATATACTGGAGAAGGTTTGATTGGTTTATCTACTCAAGGAGGCCGGAGTATTCAGCTGACAAGTTTAAAATAGGCCGAAATTCCCATTCTGAATTCCATTACTAGCCAATATCCATCATTATTAGATATTATAACTGTTTAACGAAAATATCAGAACTCAAACAAATAGACTGTTATTTTTAACTAAATTGTCATGCCTTATCTTTGAACTTCAGTGTCTCTATTATTAAGAATTACAAATGTTTTCTAATGCTAGTACGCTACTTAGACTTAAGTAAACTATAAAATTTTAGATATTGTTGAAGATTTCAAGTTTGATTTGTGAAGCCATCTAGTACTATTAATGAAGTGATAGATAGTTATTGATCTCTTATGAATAATGAATATTATATTGAAATTAAAAAGATTTTGTGTAAACAATGAATTGAGAAAAGGTTAAGTATCTTCTAATGGACTCTAAAAAGAAAAGTATATACATACAGTATTACACTAAGTAAACTTCCCTGATAATCTTGATGAACTCCAGGTCAGTAAGTGAGAAATTTGGATGAAATTACTTTAGGCAATTGGAGATGCTACACGAAAAATAACTTTAAGTTTAACTAGGCAGTTATACGATGAATGTTTGTGTTATGTACTAGTAGGATCACGTTTACACATGAAGTAATACCAAAGAAGACAATGTTTATAATGCATATATGAACTATCTGCTCGTTTAATATTTAACCCATGAAACGGATAAACTTTGTGAGGTTATCACTATATAACGCCCTGAGCTGTATGTAAGTCGCTCAAATAATTTAAGTAGACTTAGCTATAATACTACCAGAGTAGTCTGGAAGTAGTGAAATCAACTCTGGTTAAATCATATCAATGGTTTCTAAAGGAAAAGAAGTAATTATTAACCCATCTTAAATATTTTATGGAATATTTCCTACTGTATCAACTTGTTATACATATAGTGCTGCCTTCCAATACTATGTTTGCTTTGAGTATATATTATAATTTTTATCCTTTTAAATGAAAGATACAATGTAAACAATGAGTTCTGTTGTTTTATTGTTATTCTACTCTAACGAAAATGCTATTTTTCGTAAATAATCACGTTCATCGTAGTGTTTATAAAAGGAATTATAAAACATAACTACAAATTAATGACAGCTTAGTGGTAAATAAGTATTTTTTCTCCTATTTTAGAATACTTAAACACACAAGCATTCTAGCATTATTATGGTTAAACACTATAGACAGATGTTTCAAATATTATAATTTTCTTGTTATTAGCCTATTCAAGGGTAGAACAGAAATTTTTAATCAGATATAACATTAAAAAAACAAATGATATAAAAAAGAAAACAACGTAATTCGAATACACTGAGAAGCCAGTACTATGTACAACATATCATCAAATTATAAAATCTTTTCCTAAATTTCTAATCCTATCCTAATTTGAAACATGATATACTCTTCTTTTTTTCAAGTACGCGTTTAAAGTAAAAACATTATTGTATTATCTACTTCAATGTATTTACTACAACTTCGAGAAAGCTGGTCAAAAGAATGAATCCAAACTTGATTCAAGTTCATGTCAAAGTGAAATGATAAGTGGAACAAAGTGATGTTGAGACACTTAGCCTAGTGACCTCCTAGAACCTTGATTCATACCATTCGGTTTGCACAATGAACTAGAAAATACGAGTTGGTTAACATTTTCTCGACTAATACATTTGCCTACAGGAGGTCCACTGTTGTCGGGAATACCTCAGTGATTACGTCTCTAGGTGTACCATTGGATGACTCAGGTTTGAAGATAAGCCTTACTGACGAATGCTAGCAAGTACGAAATTTAGGTCCATAGCATCGTGCCGATTTCCTTTGACGATCTTAAGTTTATACACTCTTATTATTCTTAAGTTTCTGTCCGAATAGAAAAAATCAGCCTCTGGGTACAACTTATATGTTTTTTAATTAATTATCAGTATTGGATGACCACTGAAATTATGCCGAAAGAAGTTGGCCTTAAATTTAATGCAACGGTCCGTATATCTTACTTACTGTCAACTTTGTTTTACAACAGATTAAAGTTGCCTATGTCAGCCACAAATCAAAAACTTAACTCAATTAATCCAAACTGAAAGATGCAGAAGTAAATAAAACGGTTCCATATCCCATATTAGATTTATTTTATTTATAACACAGTGTATTATTACTTTCATTATTTATCCCTTGAGTTCCTGATGGAACACAGGGCTTCAGTAGCAAGTCTCCAATGCGCTATTTTCTCTGCAGTCTTTTGGACCTGGCTCCACCACAGCCCAGGAGCTCTCACTTCTTCCTCATACGATCTCTTCCATGTCACCCTCCGCACCAACACCCAACTCGTCGCTTCCCATCTAAGTCCCACTCCAGTGCCTGGCCTGACGCGTCATGTCCCCAGCTGGCCTTCATAGTGTATGCCCAACCAAATCCATCTCAACTTACTTCCAGTCCATACTTGTTCAGTGATAGGTTCTTCGTTGGTTCGTTGCCAGCCAGCCAGCCAGCCAGAGTTCCTTCTTGCTTATTCTGATTATTCTGGTCATCTGAGCTTCAGTAACGAGTCAGCGTACGCGGCAGTTGTTGATGAATGTCTGTAGTTTGTTGG